ATTATCCGAAACATGTTTCTTATACACGAATTTGAAATGAACATGGCTCACAAAATTGATAATGTAGGGGAGAAAATTGGAAAATGAACTCACCGATTTTCCAAGAATATCACTTTTAAGTGATTCTGTCGACTGTCAATTGCACACAGAACTGTTCTTCTCAATTCAGGCGAGAGTAAACTAGAACCGAAACCTTCAACCTCCACTAAACCCTAACCCTAATCCCGTAATCCATACGTGCTTGTTTGGTTAAGAACAAAAGAGAAAACTTAAAGGAGAAATTGCGCCATTGATCCCCAATTTATGTCCCAGGTAGCAATGTCGTCCTCATCACGATCAATTGGTCAATAATTGATTTTTTTTGGCTTTTGTACTTTTTTAGTGCTATTCAATAATCATCAATTAAATGAAGTTTAAACCGGTTATTAATTTATTTATTTTTTTGGCTTTAATACTCTTTTAAGTTCTATTCAATAATCATCCAGTAAATATTTATAATTTGAAACTTTAACATTTTATAACATTTTAATTTTTTCAATCTTTAAGGTTGTCTACTACTGGAGACTTCATCTTACAAGACAACCATAAATTAAGAAAAAATACTTAAGCAAAAAAAAAAAAAATGTGTAACAAGAGCTAATAATAAAAAAGAGTGCACTAAAGGGGGGTGTATTCAATTGGAACTTTGAAAACTTCGATGAACTTTTTTGAAGTGATGACTTCTATGAATTTCGTAGATTTTTTTATAGATTTGTATGATTAGTGAAAGTCTTTCGTAGACTTCTATAAACTATCATTTTAAAATTTTTATAAACTTTTGTAAAATTCAAAAGACTTTTGAAAACTTTTATTTGAAATAAAATTCATGCATATCTACGTCTAATATCATTAAATTTTCACACAAGAGAGGGTGGTTTCCACAATTTCTCTTATCATTTCTCTTCCCATCCCCATATAATAAAAAAATATTTTAAAAAGAATAAAAAATTAAGACCTTAATTAGATAAATAATAATCAAAATTATATATATGCCCTTGTTTGACTCCCATTAAAATTATAATTGATTTTTCTTTGTTTTCTAATCAACCACACATTTTTCAATAAAATCATATTACAGGTAAAAGTAAATTTTTTCCTTCTTTTTTAACTAAACATTTTTTTAAAAAAATATTAATCCAAATATTAAAATGGCAAATAATTGGGGTCAAACGGATATATACACATACATGTATATAGATTAAGAACTTTGCTTGGTGTACATAATTATTGTACATAGGGATGTCCATAATCCTCACATGGGGTGGAGCCTACATTTTTGTGGACCCCACCCCATGTGAGGATTATGTACAATAATTATGTACACTTAGCCCATGTTTGAGCAACATTATTTTTCTCATTCATATTTTTCTACTCATTTTCAACAACGCGTTCTTCAATAAAATAATATTTTACATCACATCAATAACTTTTCTTTTTTTTCAACCACATATTTTTCATCACATCAACAGTAAAAATACATTCTTACTCCCAAAATATACACCAAACAGGAGCTTAGCATTTTTCATGGATTAAACTAGTTGCACACACTTGGTGTACATCAAGTTTGACATTAAAAGTGTTGCCAAAATCTGTGACATTGATTGTTTAAAATGTTGTGAAAATCAATATTTAAAAA